GGTATAAATTAGCTCAGTGTTGAGATGGTGTTGAGTATCTCGGTTGAAGCGTTCAAAAGAGTGCCTGGCCAACCTAAGTCAGTTTGCAAAGTGAAAAGGAAAAATGTTAAGCACAAATCGTTGGACTGTGCTAAAAGAAACAAAGGCAAAATAAACAGAGTCCTAGCTCAGCTACGTGGGTTACTATCCGTTCTTAGCTCGGTTGAAGCGAAGGACTTTAGCTCGGTTAAGTGGAACGAGAGGTTCGTAGCCCGGTTGAAGCTTAGGTGCAACATTCTTGGTTCGGTTTTGACTAAGTCAGAGAGCTAATTTAGTTTTAGCTCGGTCATTGGTTAAGGCTTTCTAGTTTGGTAGTGCGCAAACCTAATATAGTTCGCTAGCTCAGCTAAATGAAACTAAAGTTTTGGCATGAAGTTTTAGTTCGGTCATTAGAAGAGCTATCTGGTTTGGCTAGGTTCACGCCTAAATACAAACAAGTTCCTAGTTCGGTCGTGATGCTATTTTGGATCAAAGGGATTCTGTAATCGGATTGATAGTGATATTCAAGTAAAGTGTGGTGAAGAAGTTTGGGTATGTGAGTTTTTTGAAGGTTTGTGTTAAAACTACAAGAATGTGTTTCAGAAAACATGTGTGTACATTACTACACTATACACATTCGCAGAAGTAAAAATAAAAAAAAACAGGGATTCAGCTACTTACCACTTCGAAATGGAAGAACAGAGATTTGAACAGCAAGGATGTTGGGCAAGAACACGAGCTTCGCAAATGCTGTGATCAAAAGGGTAGAAGCTCAGAGAGCAAGAGAGAGAAGATGAACAGGACTGTTCTGATTCAAAAATGAGGTTTTTCGAATAAAGCAAAGAAAAGGCGGGACTATTGAAATTTTGCGAGGTACGAGGGCGGCTATGGCAGCTGTAATTAGCCACAAAAGGCTTGCCATGTGTCCAGGAGAATCGTAAGCGATTCAGTTTTGCAGCGATTGAAAAGACGTTTTTTAACCGAACCAATCGCTAGCCCGGTGACAATTTAGCTCGATTGAAAGTCTAAAATTTTAGCTCGGCTGGTAACAGGTAATCTCAATCATGCTACGTAGATGGAATTAAGGGGCAATTGAGAGGGAGTTTTTATGTGCATTAGGGCCGAGTTAGGCCAAGGCGTGGTAGTGGGCCGTTCTGTGGGTCATGGTAAAAAGGGCTTAGCAAGGTGGAGCTTGCAGTTAGCTCGGTCCAACTATGGTTACAGTCACCACGGTCGGAGTGGTAATTAGCTCGGTCATAATATTTGGAACCGAGGTATTTGGGCTTCTTTAGATGGACCTTGCTTTTGTTAGCTCGGTCCAAGTTTGCTCTTGTTAGTTCGGTCTTAACAGATAAAGCCGAGGTACAGGTGGAAGGAGAGCCGAGCTGTGCAATACATGTAAAAGCATTGGATTAAGTACGACAGGGCTAGTGTTAGCTCAGTCGTACTGTTATCCAACCGTGGTAAAACCATCTTACTTGGTTTAAGCAGTGAGGGAGGTGTTGAAGGATAATCGTTATCTTTTAGGAGTGTAATTCCTAGGAGGACTCTACATAAAGAAATAAGAGTCCTACTAGGATTGTGCCATGCGGAACCTATAAAAGCTCACAACATAACCTATGTAGAGGTAACACAACTTTGATCCCCAAATACGCAGAGCTTTTGTCTATTTGTCTATTTTGCTGACTTAGGTATCGGAGAGGTATCCGGCACACACGGCGGGCTAGCTCACATTTGTGTTTTCAGGGAGTAAAGCGACGACGTTTGAAGGAGTGCAAACTTGATCAACAGGATTATATGAGAATATTATTTCATGCTCGTATACCTTGGGATTATGATAGGCCTCCATGAATAAGATTAGTAGTCTCTCATAATTTACCTACTCTATTTGATTAGTATGGTCTTTTCATTTTTTTTAATTACTCTACTATTTTTTACTCCACCATTCCTTATATTAAAATAATTTAATATAAAAATAAATTTTAATATAAAAATATAATAGTATAATAATATTTATACAAAAAAAATTATATTAAAAAATTAAAATAGTACCCCAAAAAAATTATATTAAAATATTTAACATTGAAACATAATTTTAATATTTATAAAATATATTTTTAATATTAAAATATATAATTCATTTGTTAATTGGTATAAACTCAAATTTGATAATAATACAACAAGGATATTTTTAGAATTTTATATGATTAATTCCACTTCTATTTCTCAAAACAAACATAAATAATTGCTAATCCATTAATTATCAAATAAACATAATTTTTCTTAATCGCTCACTAATAGTTTTCTCACTAATAATTGTCTCACTAACAATAACACCCAACCTATCACTAGAAACAAACGACTCTCGGCCCCGTTTGTTTTCAAAGGTAGAGTAGAGGAGATTCATCGTGAGGAGATTAATAATGAGGAGATTGTTAGTGAGGAGATTAAGTAAAATTGTGTTTGTTTTGATGATAGTTGTTAGTGTAGGGATTGTTAAATTATTTTTATATAAAATAATAAAACAAATAAAAAAATACAAAACATTAAACATTAATGTTCAAAAAAATGCCCAACATAAAAAAATTTCCCAAAAAAAATAAAAAAAATAAAATAAAACAATGATTTTTACTTAACAAAAAATACAAAAAATTAAACATTAATGTTTAAAAAAAATGGCCAACATGTAAAAATAAAAAAATTTCTAGTCCGGTGAACTATTTTTTTAATACCACCTCCACTTCCTCTATCCCAATCTCTTTTCAAGGCTGAACCTAATTCCCTACTCCATCTAAATCCTTTCCCCAAATCTACAAACAAACACAACATTAAGTAGGTTCCACCTCTATCATAATCTCATTCCTCTCTCTATGCCCAAAACAAAAGGGGCCCAGTCTAATCCCACCACTGTGATGGGGGATAATAGGCCAGTTTGGTAGAGCTGTGAGAAAGTGATTATAAATTATAGTTTAACAAATTATAGCTTAACAAATTATAGTTTACAACTGTGAACATAAATTGGTAACCTGTTTGATGCAGCTGTGAGATTATAAATTTAAGCAGCAGAATAGTGTTTGGTAAATAAACTGTAAAATAACTTTTTGTTGTATAATTGCCATTTTTGCCCTTATGAGCATAGAATTGTAATTTTGTCATTTTCTTCTTATTTTCCTTTCTCTTCTTTTTTTTTCTTTCCTTTTTTTCTTTCTTTTTGTTAATTTTGTTTAATTTATTAATTCATTACAATTAATATCCATGTATTTATATTAATGTTGTGATGTCATTACATATTATTTTTCTTTATATTAATTTCAATTATTAATTTAATAGAAGTTATAATATTCATTTTTTTATTTCATTTAATATAAGTTATTTCATTTTGTATTTCATTTTTTTCTTCAATTTTGATTTTTTTTTAAAAATTGTGATTCTGTTTTTATTAATTTTTTTTCATTACAATTAATGATTTATTAATTTCAATTTCAATTTTTATTAATTTCATTTTTTTGTATTTCATTTTTGTAATTTATTATTATTTTTCCATTACAAACCCTAGCTACGGCCGCCGGTGGCTAGGGTTTCACATCGTAGATCACGATGGCAACGATAGCGATCATCTTTGGTTTGTCACCGTTAGGCTATCTCACGAAGCTGACAAGATCACGGAAGGTTGATCGCGAAGAGAAAAGGAGGAGGCAGACGATGGCGAAGAGAAAGAGAGGAGGCGACGATGGCGATCGTAGTTAGGTTTTCAGATTGAGATCATGGCGTCGATGGCTGTGGTGACGGGGAGGCGGCAACGGAGCAAATTGTGCCCTAGCCACCGCCTTTAGTTCGTGATAGAGAGAGAGAAAGCTCTGGTTTGAGATCGCGACACGACGGTGAGCTTTGGTTTGAGATCGTCACATCATCGATGGCGGTGGTTAAGGTTAGAGTTGTCGATGCTAGAAATCGCATGTGCACGCCGAAAATCGCCTTTGTCTCTCTCTGGTTCGTGAACAGTGTTGAGATGTGATTTATATATTTAGGTTTTTGGTTATAATTGAAATTGATGAGAGGCATTTAAGTAATCTTACCCTTCCAATACAGCTTTCCGCTTAGGCTATAATTGCTTAAGTACCTCGCAGGCCACTTCTCAAAATTTGTAATTTTTGACTTAAATTAAACTATCAAAAATTTAATTAAGTTAAACCAAACACTTTAAAATAACTTAATTTAAGTTAAAAACTAAATTAAACTGTTTATAAACTGTGTTAAACAGGCATAACAAACATTGGCCAAGGGCATTTGAGGAAAACAGGATGGAAGAGAGGCAGGTGGAGGAGGGGCATTTAAGTAATCTTACCCCTCCAATACAGCTTTCCGCTTAGGCTATAATTGCTTAAGGCTTGGTTTGGGAAGTGGGTTGGCTTTTTGGCTTTTTTGGCTATTTTAGCCTGGGCTAAAAAGCTTGGTTTGGGAAGGACTTTTTGGCTTTTTGACTTTTTTGAATTTTTTTGTGAGAGAAGAGTGTAATAATTATGGGTTGGATGTGATATTTTGTTTTTTGTGACTAAAATAGCCTATTTTGTCTTTTGTGGCTAAAATAGCCAAAAAAAGTCCCCAACCCAACTTGCCAAACGGAGCCTTAGTACCTCCTAGGCCACTTCTCAAAATTTGTAATTTTTGACTTAAATTAAACTATCAAAAATTTAATTAAGCTAAACCAAACACTTTAAAATAACTTAATTTAAGTTAAAAATTAAATTAAACTGTTTATAAACTGTGTTAAACAGGCATAACAAACAAACATTGGCCAAGGGCATTTGAGGAAAACAGGATGGACGAGAGGCAGGTGGAGGGTGGGCCCTTCTCTGTGAAAGAGTGCACGTGGTTCCGTAGAAAAAAAGAACCATCAGACGCGGAGTTAAAATTCAAAAATTAAATACTTTTTAAATACATCAATTTTAAAATTCAAAATTATTAATCTACCTGAGATATGAGATAAGTAAGAGAGAGGACTGGACGACATCTTTTAAACAGAAACAGCAAGCGTAGTAGCACAGTAGTAGTCGTAGCTCCCAACAGAACCACCAAGGGAGAGAGAGGACAGTGTCGTCATTTTGAAGGGACGGATCTCGCTTTTGGGTGGTGGTGCTTGAAGAGAGAGAAAACCACACAGTGTGTGGAGTTGTAGAGAGAGACAGAGAGAAAGGCAAAGTATTGGTTTGTTTCGGTTTCCAAGTAACGATGGAGAGAAACACTCCGGTGAGGAAGCCTCACACATCCACCGCAGATCTGCTCACTTGGTCCGAAATTCCTCCCTCTGATTCCCCCGCCACCACCGGAGCTCGCTCCTCCGCCCGTTCTCACCAGGTATCATTAATCTCATTTCTCCATCACCGAACAACAATTTCTCACTTTTTTCTTTTTTAAAATTTGTTGATTTGAGCTTTACTTTATTTATTCAATTTTTATTTATTTTTTTAATTAAAAAAATTTCAGCCATCGGATGGGATCAGTAAGGTTGTGTTTGGAGGTCAGGTCACAGATGAAGAAGTTGAGAGTTTGAACAAAAGGTGAGAGATCTGATCAAATTTCTGTAAAAATCTCCAATCTTAATTATATCTATATATGTATGTATAATGAATGTATCTATCTGCACATTTTGTGTGTGTGTGTGTGTGTGTGTGTGTGTGTTAATTCGTGATGCAATAAATGCCTTCTTTGGAAGAGACTCTGGAAAATTTGTCTGTTTATTCTGTTGTTTTGTCTGCATTCTTCACGGTTTCCACGCTGTTCATGCTTCTTTCTATCATTTTTATTTTTATTTTTATTTTTTGTTACTGAAATGCTTCATCTTTTTGGTTTGGATGCTCAGATCTTGTATTTGTTCTTCGATTCGATGTGTTAGATTTGAGATCACTATGTGTCAATTCCTTCTGTTGTTGCTTTGCTGATTAGTTCTATATGAGAGGTGACAAATTCTTATACACCAAAGGAGATTGGAAAACATATCCTTATAATTCTGTATAGTAGAGCTAATTTAGTTTCTGAACATCATTTGTCGTGAACAAGGTTTGGTTTGCACTGGACAAGCATCACATTCAAATCATCATTGGGATCAGTCCCTATAGTCAATAATAGTTAGGGCTACAATGTCAAGAAGCAAGGGCAAGATTTTTAATTGAGAAAACCATACTTTGACGTTCAATTTTTTTGGCTTATTTTCGAGTGCTTGAAGAAGAATGCCACTACCTCCGCCATGAATTGTTTGTTCAGCACGAAAAATAATAATTAAAAAATGATTTATGTTTTGTGCTAAAATTTTTGATTTATTTTGCATTAACAGTACTTAATGAGATCTTTTAATTGGTGCCAAAAAAAAAAAAAAAAAATTGAAATTTTGATAATATACTAGAATACATCATTTTTAAGTCCTTGTTTTCGGTGCCTGTATATAAGTTTAGGACGGAGGGAGTGGTTCTTTAACTTTTGCCTGGACATATATTATTGGCTTTCTGATTGTGAGAAAATAATTAGCGACACCACCCCTAGTTCTTGATCGACCAAATATTGGAAAAAGCGGTACTTTTTTTTTGTATTTTCACTGAACTTTGCATTGGGGTCTAGTTCCGCAGAATCCAGATAGCTTTGGTGCATATCTGACTCGCGTTCCCAAACAGAGATTATCCTTGTATCAGTTTTCTTTGTACAATGGAACAAGATTGTTCCGTCTACCCCTTTCAAAAGATCATTTTGGAGCATAGAGTGATGAGGTGGGAATCTGACTGAGCAGAGGGTCGGGCAATCAGGGGATAACATATAATTTTGTTTTTTGTCTTCCTTTAACCTCTGTTTGATTTACTGTGATTCAAAATTCTTTTTGGTGTACTTCAGGATTTGGTATACTTTGAAATTATGTGGTTTGTTGCATATGCAAGTCAAATTCTGACTAGGTCATTTTGCATTTTCTGGTTTCACTCGTATGGTGATAATGGATCAGTTGAGTTCTTGTTGTTTGTATGGGCCTCTGCTGAAATGGTTAGCTTTGAACATTTCAGGAAACCTTGTTCAGGTTATAAATTAAAGGAGATTACTGGTAGCGGCATTTTTGCAGCTGATGCAGAAAATGGTACACTAGAATCTGATGCCAATCCTACTCCAAATAGCAAAACTGGATTACGGATGTACCAGGTATATGCCAAATCATTGCTATTTTCAAAATCTATAATCACAGTAGGATTTGTTAAGCTGTTTTGCTGTCAGTTTAACATGAAGATTGTATTATGCATCATAAATTTGTAATCCACTTTGTATACTTCTAATCGTTGGAGTTGTAATCAGCAAGCGGTTGCTGGAATCAGCCATATCTCATTTGGTGAAGAAGATACTGTTTCTCCAAAGAAGCCTACCTCACTGCCTGAGGTCGCAAAGCAGCGTGAATTGAGTGGGACGCTACAAAGTGACTTGGAGGCAAAGTTGAAGAAGCAACTTTCTGATGCTAAGAGCAAGGAGCTTAGTGGGAATGACATCTTTGCCCCACCTCCTGAAATTCAACCCCGACCATTGGCTGCTAAAGCATTGGCACTAAGAGAAAGCATAGAAATTGGAGAATCTGCACCATCTAATGTGCGCACATCTGTCAAAGTTTCTAACGTAAGTGAATTATGTGGGTGAAGAAATGCATCTTCTTGTATTCTGTATATGGCACATGGGCAGCAGTAATTTTAGGGCTTGCCTTGGGGAGAATTTGATAAAGCCGTCATACCCATGTTTAGAGTTCTTAGATTGGAGAAATTTGCTCTAATCAATACCACTACATAGATTCGATTGATTATCTCTACTTATTGCTAAAAAATATATATATGAATACCTGTACAGAAATGTGTAGCTTGAATGACCCTAGCTATATTTTGGAACCGTATTTCTTTTTGCACAGAAACCAATCACAAAATCGGAAACAACCCTCTCACATAGTTGTGAGACCTTCAAAAGGACCTCATGTGAGAGGGTTGTGTCTAATTCTATGATTGGTTTATGTGTTCATAGACTTTTTCTTTTGGTAACAGGCAGTGCCACTACCTTAGTTGTATTAAGTCGTCTATTCATTTGTTCAAATCTGCCCTCAGATCTTTTCTGCACCATGACATTATTGCTTGTTTGTATGCATTTGTTTTCCCATGGTTAACTATCTGACACAATTTAAACTCGGTTATTAAACATAGCCTGCTGGAGGTCAGACTAACGACGAGTTTAGCGAGGAACCTGTGATCAAGACAGCAAAGAAGATTAACAACCAGAAATTTGCAGAGCTGACCGGAAATAACATTTTCAAAGGGGATGCTGATCCAACATCTGCTGAGAAATCACTGAGTTCAGCAAAGCTGCGAGAAATGAGTGGCAGTGACATTTTTGCTGATGGGAAGGTAGAATCTCGAGACTACTTTGGCGGAGTTCGTAAGCCTCCTGGTGGCAGCAGCAGCATTGCCTTGGTGTAAACTCGTTAGGTCCTCTAACTCAATTTATTTTTACAATTATTACATCTGTGTCTGGTTTTTATTTTATTTCTAAGGAGATAGTTCTCCTATGATTTGACCTTGTGTTGTGGGTTTTGGTATTTCCTAGGGTTTTAACATGTCAACCAGAGCTATGGACTATTGGCTAATTGGGTTGTATGTCCATAATCTTGTGTTTTTGAAGTGTCTTAATGAATTTGCATGGCTGTCATGTTTTATTTTGTTGCTTGGAAAGCTCATTGGACTAGCTATATACATTTGATACTCATTTTCATTGTTGAAACTTGGTGGTGTCAAATATTTGATTTTGAATTTTGGTTATATAGTATGCAAAGTGTTTCTAATAATTTTGTATATTTGATTTACATGGAATTTGTTTTAGTGGATTGGAGATGCACTGAATTTTTAATAGTAAACTTTGGGAATCAATTTCTTAGTCTTTTTTTTCATTTTTCTTTGAACTTAATGCTATGTTTGGATGTTGAATTTAGTGAACAAAAAGAGAAAAAAAATTACTCTTTTTTTTTTGTTGGTAAACCAAACAAAAAAAAAATTCACTCTATTTGGTTTGAACTTTTCAAAAACAGTTTTATGAGTTTTCAATCTGTATATTTGTATTTTTAGTGAGTTTTTAAAAAATATTTTAATCATTTTTTTAAAGGTTTAGATTTATTAAATCTTGATGTATTTAAAAGTACAAAACTTGTACAAATTTTTTTTTAAAATTTCATTTAATATAACAAAATATGAAAATGTATTGAATTTTTATATATATATTTTTTGTATTTGGTGATTTTTTTTTTTTTTTTTAAAAAAACATCACAAATATTATATTTTAAAGGTGTATATAGATTATGTGTATTTAAAAAATAAAAAAATTGTTTAAAATATTAAAAATGTTTATGAAAAAAATATAAATAAATTAAAAACTCTATTTTTCAAAAAAATAGTGTAAACCAAACAAGGATTTTCTTCTCACTTTCTTAATCCAACCAAATAAAAGATTTTTTTTTTAATTTTTTATTTTAGCTCTGTTACTTTTTTTTTTTTTTTTTTCATCTACGCAAATTTAAGATACACAAGTTGTCTATCTCTGTTTCTATCTTTTTCCCTCCCCAAGTATTTCTAAAATTGGTGAATATGTTAGTGTCAAGAAAGAAAGTCAGGTCTTAGAAAACAGCAACAAGATTGGCTATAAGGTCGCTGGGCTGGGTCCTGCTGTTGACTTTGTCTCTGACTTAACAGTCCTAGCTTATTGAGAGCGATCCATCGACCAGCTTTATATTGAAGATTGTTTTTTTCATTCAAATACACATTTCAGAGAGACGTTTATTTGTAAATTTCAGAGAATTTAAGCTCCGTTTAGTGGAGTTTTCAAAATATAATTTCACATATATTTTTAAGTATAGTGTTTATTTAACGTTTTTAAAAATTAATTTTACATTCACTTTTGAAAACTCTTTTCAAGACGGAAAAATTTAGGCTAATCAGTTGTCCCACCGGTTGACCGGAACAACATTCGTTTTTTTTTTTTTTTTTTTTTTATATTACAAAACAAAAAAATTTGTGAATTTTTTTTAAAATTTTTTATGAGCTTTGAATAGAATTTTAGATTGTGTGTTTAGTTATGAGTTGTACATTTTTGTATCAAATATCATGTCACATCACTCAATTTAAACTCAATTTAAAACTCTTTTCAAAACTCATAACTAAACAAAAATTCACACCTAAATCATAATTTCAAAACTCACAAACTCAAAATACAGTTCTATTCTCAAATTATAATTTTAAAACTCTACCAAATACTACCTAAGTTTTTTAAGTTTTGATGGAATTGAAATAACTTTTCATCCTAGATTCAATTTTGGCATTGTGGATACAACGCTAGAAAAAATGCTGAGGTTGATTTGGTATATATTTTTTTAAAAAGCATTTACTTTTTTTCTTATTTATTTTTTATTTGAGGAAATCAAAAAGCAAATATATAGATAGAAACATATAAATACGTCAAGTTCAATGTTATCAAAAGAACCACCAGCAAACAAGGCAAACAAAATACATTATGCATTACTCACCTTACTAGCAGCTACAACAACAATACCCTGCAAAAGATAACAAAATAAACACATGTTTCAAAAGATAAGCACAAGATTGAAGCGACTTGGTCAAAGGGCTCTGCCGTGGCCAAAAAAGACTTGAATTGCTGATACTATCTTTAATTCGAGGCTCTCTCTTATGCTTGCCTTGGTCTTGGGACTTGGATTCGCTTAGATCTCCCCACACGACACTTCATTACTCGCTTAGAAACCTGTTCTAGTGGTGGCTCGTCATGAACACCCATAACCTATTCAGACATAGGAATATCCTCTACATGCTGTGATAATGATTCAATGACATTAGAGTGGAGTGCATTAGGCTATTCCTCTGGATTATGAACGTGTGGCATGCCAACTTGTTCATCTGTTCGGAAAATCTGGTGTTTGAACCTTGACAACCGACAAACTTTGCTGATGTAAGAACTGAAAAGAACCAGTAGCTGACGCAAGTTATGATCAATGAGAAGAACATCCCTACCCAAAAGCACTTTCTTCTTCTGCTCGAGAGGCTTTGTGTGAGGAGCTACATTTGTGGTGCCCCCTTCTGATCGGCTAACTTTGCCTTCACGTCGGTTCTTACTTTCAGATGGAACCTCCTTTCCAAAATCAATTCCTTCGTCACAATTAATTAAAGAAACTGATTGGGAATTAGAAAATGGATCAGAAGCAACCTTACTATTCACATCACTATTTGGCACCCATGGCCTTGCCCGACAGTGCTCTGGTGAGGAGACATTAGGGACAAAATCTTCATCCATAACATCTAAGTTCCATTTCTAAGAGTTTGCACAACAATTTCCTAATCAATTAGGAAATCATCACAAAGGGTATCTTTAATTAGAAAGCATGTCGTGTGGAGACGAACATTTCAGATTGTCTCTATTCAAGTCATTGTCTAGAGCAATACCTTTACCAGTTTCTTCCCTTGCTAATTGCCTAATAACTGGCTTAGAGTTGAGAACAAAATCCCTTTTCATGATAGTTACACTCCAAAAACACCAAGGAAGAAAAATGCAAAGAGTAAAAGCACAAGCAAAAGGCAAGACCACCCAACAACAGCAACAGGAAAGACAACTAAACCACAATCAAAACAAAAACTAAAAACAGACGGAAAACAAAACCTCTAGCAACTAAAATGAAGAAGCAAAACAAGAGAAATCACAAAAAACACAATAAAAGGAACCCAAGAAAAATGAACACCCCCCAAACCTCCCTAAGATTGCAAATCCACAAAGGATGAAAGAAGAGAGGGTTGTTGGGATGGAGATTGAGATAGGACTAAGGAAAGAATTGGAGAAAAAGATGTCAGATAAAAGGGAGGGGAGATCGAATCAGCTTACTTTATTTTTTTAGAATGTCTATTTTGTAAAAGGGTTCCACATATTTTGAAAAGTATCCAATTTGTTAATTTAAGAATACTCATTTTGTAAAAAGGCCTCCACCAATTTAATAGGTTTTACAAGTTTAGTTTTCAGTTTTCACAAAATTTTCCCCTTTTCTTGGCATAGTCTTAACTTTGGATCTATAAATTCTATTGATTGTATAGTTTACACTCTTAATTTCTCCTCATTTCATTGCCTTATCAAAGTTTTTAAATAACACCCAAAAATTATATAAGAGAAAAAAAAAATTATATAATAAATTACAATATAAGAATGGAAACATTAGGGAGACATCCCGCTACCACTACATGAAATTACACATTTGCCGACTAAAAAAATTTTGGTCTCAAAAAAATGACATTTGTTGACCAAAATAAAATTTCGTAGCTAAAAGTTGATACTATTACCGACTAAAAATATTTTGTCGCAAAAAAGTGATTTTTTGTGACCAATTTAAAATTTTTGTCACCAAAAATATAGGCGGGAGAGTGAAAATTGGACAGGAGTAGTATGATCTTTTAGCGACTAATATAATTTAGTCGCAGATATCAAAACGACATTGTTTTGGTATCTAAATGCAGGTTCCAACATTAGCCAACCAACATGTTTGTAGGGGATAACTTTACTAATTCAAACACTTATGTTAAAAATAAATACGCGCCTTTTTCATATCTCAGTCGAATTCGATTACACCTTAGTTGCGCCAATCACCTCGCCTCACCATCAATGTTGCCGTCCACTGTTCTCGCCTCTCCATCGTCAGTGTTGCCGTCCGTCTTCGCCATTTCTGATTCATCTAGGTATTTTTTTTCAACCTTCTGTCTCTCTCTGTTTATATCTCTCTGTCTCACTTTTTCTCTTTGATTTCTCTTACTCCTTTTTCTCATACTCGTCTTGTTCTATAATGTCTCACCCACCAGGGCCCTCATCATTGTGATTTTTCGGAGCATCTTTAACTCTCCCTAAAAACAATTTGAGTTATAAATCCTCTGTATCACTCTCACTCACTCAGTCTCTGTCTGTCTCTCCCTCTCATTGTCAATGTTTTTGTTGATGTTTCCTGCTGGGATATGTAGATAATAGGATTTCAATCTGTTGTTTGTGAAGTCCCCCAATCTGTGATGTTCCCTTAGAGTGTTTTATTTCTTCTTTTTCTTTAAGTATCCCTTTTTATATTAGGAAATATACTTAATGAGAATCAACAACTTGGCTAAGCTTTTGTAAGTTATTTGTGAAATAGAAGCAGATTTAGGGGAAATTTTGAAAAAGTTTTCTTCGTTGGTTGACAATTCATTGTTTGGTAGAAGGGAAAAGAAGGGATCTATACTCAACCAACTAATCAATGATACAAAAGGAGAACTCAGAAGCATATCTAGGGGAAAACAATAGATTTACTTGATTTTAGTTGTTTTTGTATTACCCTCTAAATCCTTGTATGCAAACTAGTTTTTAGATACAAAATGTATGCTTCATAATCATGCAATGTGGACAATTATTCTCCATTAACCTTAGCAACTAGCTAGTGTTTCTTTCCTAATCATAAACTGAGTGAAGGGACGTTGGAGGCGGTGGGTGGCGATGAGAGGATCAATAAAATATCCCATTTTTTAAATTTTTTTTAATTTTATGAATATAGTACAAGACATGATTAGTAATTAGTGATTGCTAGAGTATAATTGAAACAAGGTCCTATTTGAAGATCAATCAAATTTTCTCATATCTCTTCTTTAGTTAGTTGTGAATTATATCCCCCTCCGTGCTTTCATACTAGGCATCCAAACCACTTTTCAGTTCATATTTCACCTTTTATCCCACATATCTCAATGATAACGATGAGAACATT